TTTTTATTCACGGAATATACAATTGTATAGTAAACCTTCAGGAAAAAGACCACGGCCATACAAAGGCTGCCTGGAGAAACATCGAATTTGGGGAGGTGGGCAGCGATACAACGTTTCGAACCTGTAACTTCCAGGTCATTATTGTGATGACATAAACCACTTGGCCACCATCACCCAAAGAGAGTATACGTAGAGGAAATGGTTTGTGCCTCGGCCATTTTAGAGTCAGTTATCAAAATGCGAGAATTGAGATCGCTTGGCGTAATTCAAGGTATAGGGAAGTTCACCAAATGGTAAAAGATATCGACTGGTCTGCGAAATGCTCGTGAATTTTGAGGAAAGGCTCATGCCCTTAACTCCCTGGGCAAACAGTACTTCATTCTGTGCAACAATTCCTGATTGATTTTTCCAGATAAGAAATCTTTTAGGCCTAAAAGACCTTGTATGTTTACGTCAAACTACTTTGGACGTTGAAATACGCACAAACGGAGCAGACTGATTACAGGATTGGGCGCCTGGCATTCCTAACCACGGTATATGATTGCTTCGGTAATAACGCTATTGCACGGCACATGCACAACTGGAGATTTAGACCATGTTATGGCCAGCGTTTTACCAAATGCTTTAGACGATTCGCGTTTAAGGAGAGAGCAAAATATTTATTGTACTGGCTGTACGTCAAGCATAGTGTAGATAGTCCAAACGTTCACCTTGTGTTCTTTTTATACGTTATTCGTGAGCAAAGAAAGCATCCCGGGGGGCTGTGTACGCTGATCGATTGGGCATATGTTTTCACCAAACACAAATGAAAGATGCGATCAGAAAGCATCTATTCGATTTACTAGGAGTATAAATTTCCTAACCATTCTGCTGGTAATATTTTAGAGTAAAATTCATGCTCCTGCCAAACGTGACACACGAAGAGGGTCGGGTTCTTGTTGTTGAAAACGGAGGCATTTTGTTTCCACATTTGATTCACAGTTGTCAGCAGTGATGTGGGATAATTGATTTTGTCTGTTTCCTTGGACAAGTCCTATTGCTAATGGGTCCAAATGACACGTCTTCTCATCTCTAAACCCTACAGTCCGAGTGACGTATCTCTATGTTCGTCTGAAACAGTCATGCTTATTGTTTGCTTCCAGTCGCGAATCAATTGTCATCTACTTTTTATTCCACGCTTTATTCACCCAAAGCCTTATCGTCGCTTNATTTAACCAGTGAGTAGACGGGCTTTGTCTGCATCATGATCAGCTATAAGCACTGCATACGAGCATCAATACTCCTTTTTTAGTCAAGATTGTGCTACTTATTGGCTTCTTAAACCCATCTTGTCACCCCCCCAATGTAGTGTGCACTATTGTACGGTGCAAGCCGGAGAATAACAGATATTTGCCGAACATCATTTTCCCGCCATAATCTAAACGTACATTCCCATTTTTACTTCATTACCAACACTATGTGTCGTTTGTTTTACATGATCGGTAACAGCTGTATCCTTCCGTGAGAGAACTTTCACTTTTTGCTTTCGATCCGTTTTGCACGTTATCGCGCTCGTTGGTTTTCGTTGCCTTCGTGCTTTACCGCAGAATCTCGTTAGCCGCTACCGGTATATTCTCTGAACCACGGTATGTCAATACACGTCTACAACAACCACAAGTCTTCTGATTTAACCAGCGGAAACTTGGTTGTTTGCGAGCCCAAGGTCCCGATCTTAAGTTCGTCACGACCGGCCGTAGTCGACGTTCTTCATCACCCTTCATGGAAGTGGGTCAATAAGTTGATCGTGGGTGTCTCTTTCATTTCATAGACCATTCCAACTGCTATTATCTGAAATTGGCTATTAGTTATTTCAAAGGTGAATTCATCGTGTATACAGCAAATGAAGCGTGAACTGAAAAGCTGGGAAGCACAACTGGACAGCTATTTCGACCTGGTTTGGTCTAATCAGCAGTGCCGGCGAATCCATCGACCCAACTGTGACTCGAACCCGGGACCTCACAGGTAGAACGCAAGCATGCTACCCACTCAGCCACTGGGCGGCTGATCAGACTGTCGTTTTCATTTTTCATTTATACGATATAGCACAACCCATCTTTGCGGGCTTGTTGCGGGCCACAGACCTCTCTCATCTCAGCACTAGCCTCAGGGTTATTATTTTTTATTAATTACTTTGCATATACTTTGAATTATTCGATTCCATTCTCGTCGCTCAGCAAAGCAAGCAAAGCATTCATCAATGGTATCTTGTGTCACATTTTTCTCAATTCTCCTATAAAATTTGGCAAGATAATGGTCAACATATCCTAAAATCAAGCGGATAATCAAATACAATGTCATGGACAGCGTCAAACTGGATGATTCCGTACTTGCAGGAGAGAAAGGAGTCTGTCATGCTCTGTTTCGGAATCAAAATTTGTTCATTGATTTTGTAGAAATCTTTCCATCAAGTTGATTAGAAGGAATCAGTCAATTGTTCCGCTTACCTGGTTGTGACTCATTCACAGTCGGGACGCTGGTGGTGGCACCTTGATCCGTATCGATTTCTGTTGTGGATTGATGTGGTCGATCTGATGCGGTCGACATAGTGCTAGTCCCAATCACGTGATTGACCGCAACCGAGCTGATGCTATCCGTCTCGAAATTTGTTAGTCCCTCTGAGACCGATTCAGGTTCAGTCTGAATAATGGAACCTGGCACGATGATATCCGAGACCAGAGCAAGAACCTTGTATTCAGTCTCGGTGGAGTGGATGGTGGTTGTCGAAGTGATTGGTCGAACTGTTGAGCCGGTTTGCCTGGTGTGTTCAGTGATACCAGATTCGGTTGTTTCAGTCACCGGAGGTGAATTGGAGGGTAGTGATGAGGACTCCAGTGCATCTGACGTTGGTGATGTTACTGGAAGTGTTGTGTCATTGTCTTTGTTTGAGATCACTAAAAAGTGAAACAAGATTTTGTAAATTAGATTTTGTCAGCAGACCGAACGAAATTCCAACACCAAAAGAGAATTTCAAAACTTCATGGTTACGAACATACGATGTATAAGATGCCTAACGCCGAAACCCCACGCGTCCCTGGAAAATGTCCACGATAACGCATGTACGGGCACGTGATAGAAAATGAGTTATCAATTAGAGAAAGTGTTACCAGTTCACATTATCGTGTCAACTACATCACGGATACTGTAGGACAATTTGAGTTAAATTCATAGTAGAAACACATTGTGAGCGAGAAATTCAGAGCTGGAAGAAAACGCGATCGGTGGTTACGCAGACTGTTATCACTGATGATACAGAATGTCAGACGTCTGTTCAAATAATTTCTAGACAGAATGTAGCCGCACTGCATACTGAAGAGATGATGACGTCGGAAAATATGTGCACACATTTTGAGGAGTTTATTTCTGTTATTGGTGATAGTTCTTGATGCTCTAATATTCAAATCTGAATACGTTACTAAAGATAGTATTGTGCAATTGTACTTGAATAGATAACAGAAATCATCTTAGGGGAAGGGGCGTTACTAGTAACATGTTTTTCTAAAAACCGCTATACAAATTTATGTTGACAGAGTTTAGTTCAAATTTTACCTAATGTGGTTTTCTCTTCGTCCAATGAGGTTGCGATATCTGGTGCAGCTTTGAACCTCGTGTCATACGTGTATTTTGTGTCGGGTATTTGATCAGAAAGATCACTTGGTGCCCCGGTGGTATGGATTTCAGCATCGTTCATCATGATATCGTATTCGTTCTCGTCGGTGTCTGCTGATTGAGCTGTGGAGTTTGGATTCTCGGTTGTCTGTATGGATTCATCCTCAGAGACTATAACCAAACGTCACAGATGTAGTGGGATGGGATATAATTTGCACTATTAATTGAGTTATCACATATATGAATCGTATGTGATTCTCTGTGTTGGACTGATTTTCTACAGTAAGTTTTGACGAAGCCATGAGTTCCAGTCATATTTGGGCTGACGATCGATGTTCCGAATCAGTGCTAGTCTCCTTTGACTTATTAGAGACCACGACGGTGCAGTCGTGGGTACTCGGTAGTTTAACATTTGGTCAGATTGCTTTTGACCGTCAATTGCATAAACAGTGAATATTCATTTATGATTGGAATCCGTAATTAAAATGAAGATGTATATTGGGAATCAATCGCTTTCTATTCCGAGCCATTCTGTACACAGTCCACGTCGGCTTCGTTCATCAATAGCGAACTTACTTGCTTTACTCAGTCTGAAGGAGCTGTGATGGTTGATGAAATGCAATAAATTCATCAAGGAGATGTCTATCGTTCTCCGTCACACACAGAGGCAACTAACAAAACCCTTTCGTAAACTATATCATTTATTATACGCGCACAAAATGTTACTCATATTGTTTCAGTGGGTGATTAAAAGAACCCCAACTTCTGGAAACTCATGACCGTCCGTCCGTTATTCGAACGTCCGTTCTAGAAGCTGGTTGACCTGCAGCAACTATGGGGTCTCAGGTCACCATCAATACTGGAATTATTGTTGACACATGAGAGCTCGTGGTTGAATCCATCCCTGTTATGTTCCCGTTCGAAACAGCGATCATGCCGTGCTTTCATTCAAAAACATTTTATTCACTTAGATTCAAAGAAGTGGGCCGAATCTGCACAGATCCATTTATTATACTTGGTTGCAATTCTTAGCACTTTCTACACACTGGGGTTCTCATGGCGAACAGCCAAACCATCGGTATCCTGAAAAACATTTGTCGATAATTTTACTAATCTACTAACAATAGTGACTGAACTAGCGTTATCGACAAATCTGGCATCCGAAAATCACCTTTTGAAAGTCACACAAGGAAATGGATATCTCTCTAGGATCTGTCCTGGCGAGATTCTAAATGTCTTCCGGATGTCTTCATTTGGAATGATTATCCAATACTGAAAATCCACTTTTCCCACAAGATTTGCTACACCATTTTTTGACGGTCTACATCTCCGTCGCCAGTTGCATCATCTTTCATATTCTTTGATAATCAATATTGCATTTACTGCTGAAAATGTCAAACCAGAACTAATTATTTTGCGAAATAATGCAACTCAAATTGCAATCCATATGCCTCTTAACACCTTCATCTGATTGATGAATCACATCCATTCTATTTCAATGGATGTTCGACTAAACGGCAATCCCACAATTGTGGAAACAAAGCATTAGTTCCCCTATACACACAAGTCAGTTGTCGCAGAGACCACGCTTACTACCGAAATGAAATCTTCATTCGTGAAGCCGATTTCAGCAGATTCTCTGATGGAACACTTAAAAATATACAACATTATTCCAACAACTTAACACCAATTTATTCAAAAACGATCCTGTTCAAACAAAATATCGTCACTCGAGATGAATGGACAAGAACAGTCAAAGAAGGCGATGTGGTATATTTGAAGAATACAGACTTCTCGAGAGCATTTGATCGGTCAGACGACTGAATACTGTTGCAGAAGCTTTATAATTACGACATACGAAGTGTCGTGCTTGACTGTATCAAAGTATTTAAACGACAACAGACCATATCAGTTAGTGCTTCTGATTCCCTGTCCGGTTGTATCAACTTTACATTCGGAGCTCGACAAAGGTCTACACGTGATACCGGACTTTTCCTCCCATTCACGTACGATCTCCCCAATGTTCTAGGATCAAATACAATAATGTTTGCAGAAGACGGTAAAATATGAAATACACTAATATAGTAAATTGAGGGCTCACTATTACTTCAAAAAATAATTTCTTAGTCTGGTCAATGTTCTATGGGAAAAAGTATGAAATTGGAAGTTTTCAGCTTATACGACCTATGCCTACACCCCTCGTGAAAATTTTCGGTTTACCTAAGAAATCCCCAGCTTCCAAAAACATCGGCCGAGAAAAACCAAGGATTTATCATTACTTTCGAAGCATTAAGTTGTTTGGACGATTACATCACGGCTTGATCCGCAGCTATGATCTATGACGGTTTGCTCAGATGCTTCTTCATTTGGTTTCAAATACCAACATTCTCCTATTGACTATGGGTGTACATTCTGTAGCGCAGGGAGTTCAGCATTTCAACAAGCAGTCTACTGACACAACATGATAGGATACTGCAGTGTCCACAATGGGTTGACCTCAACATGGTCAAGCAATTGATTGCATCGAATCATCTACGGAGAGTAAGAGAGCTTACAACAATTCGGATTATTTTCTACGACCGACTTTGGCAGTCTTAGATGTTACAGAACCTAAACTATCCATGTGGTTCTTTACTCAATTTGTCACTCAACGTTAACTTATGGGGACACCGTTTCAAGTTAGTGCTTCCAAAGTTTTCATTAAAATACCTGCTTAAATCTTTTGCCGTCAAAAAGGCTCGAAAGGCTCTCCCAACTCATGTCACTTATATGCCAAACATAGAATTGCTCAAGAGGAGACTTGTTAAACTCAGGAACATTTCACATCACTGAATAACAAAAAGGGTAAATTAGTTAATTAAGACAGATAATATCTTCTCCTACTTGGAACTAAATGTGACATTTATCATTCCTTACAGAAAAACAATCCGATTGCGTCATAATCCTACGGAGCCAACTGAAGCACGGCTCGTGAGTGATTCCCCCAAATGAAACGGACAGCGATTTAATTTTTACGTGTCCATGAAAAAATACTGTTGTTATAGCATAAGTTTGATTTTCAAAATTTCAGCGAAAGAAATTAAAAATGAAAACACTAGATGCCATATTGAGAAACACCATGAATTCCTGTGTTTTACTGGAATTTGTCTGTCGATACGCAAGTACGCATCGATGTGAGGATATATCTATGAAATGTGCATTGGAAAAAGCGTACCACGCGTAAAATGACCTGCAAATCACATCACGGATAGTGTGCGACAAATTCAGTTACTTCCAGTCATAGCAGAAACAGGGCGTGAGCGTTAAAATTCCGCCTGGACGTAAACATGATCAGTGGTCACACAGATTGTTGTCAAAAACATGCAGTACGACAGAAGTCTGCTCAAATAACTTCTGGACAGAATGTCACCGTAATCCATATGACAGAAATAATTGAACAGTCAATATCGTACTAGCATCTTGGTGAGTTTATTTCATTCATTGGTGAGAGGTTGTGGATCACAATGCAACAAGCGCGAAAATATTTCGGTGCAAGAATTCCAAGTAGTTACTTGCAATTTCACTCGACCAGTGAAAACAGATCACCTTAAAAGGGCGCGCTAATACAATTGGTAACAATATCATTTAAACCAAGCGTTACTGAACTTTATATTGACGGAGTTTAGTTCAAATTTTACCTAATGTGGTTTTCTCTTCGTCCAA